TTCTCTCTGTGAGCAGCTGGGGTGGCCAGCATCCCTCTGCTCTCATGTCCTGCTGGAGCCAGAGCTCCTGAGCATCCTGCATCCACGTCCCAAGCACCAGGTTCCTGTGGTTTGAGGTGGTGTGCCAGAGTCTACACCTCAGGCACCCAACTTTGGCAATTCAGCCAGCCCGGCATGCAGCCCGGCAGTTCCGGAACGTTTTAATTAAGTGGACTCCAAACAGGAACGGAGATCTGGATGTTCCTAAGGCAGTTCTTCAGGGAGACCCTGCAGCTGGCCCAAACCCAAAAGCCAGTTGTACAAGCCCTGCTCTGTGGAGACCTGAAGCAGATGCTGACAGCTCAGCACAGCTTTAAGCGGGTTCCCCCACATCCCCTCCAAGCACCACCGTGTGCCCCATCCCTGCCGCTCCCTGAGCTGCTCAACTCAAGAGCTCGGTCCCACTCGGCTGTTGGTGCAGGACCTTGAACGAGTACTAAATAAATGAACAAGTCATTTCCTGCAAGGCCAAACAAGTTCCCTGCCAAAGAGGTCACATACCACACTCTGGCCTGATGCCTCTCCCGAGTTTATGAGGGTAAATTCCCACATCCAGGGGTCCAACGATTACAGCATTGCATCTGGGCTAGGATTACTCGCACTGGAGCTAGGATTACGCTCTGCTGGAGAGGTGAGGAAAACAACTGCTTTTGTGCTTTCATTGCATGACCTCTAAAGTTCGGTTTGGGTTTCTTGGTTTGCACAAACTAAAACATTCAAATGAAATCAGGGAGTTTTCACTTAACTCCCAGCCAGAGGACCAGGATCTGTCACACCAAGGTTCTTCAACGTTATTTTGGCAGTAAGGAGATCTGTAAGGAAAAGCCCTCTGAGGCAGGGCCCGTGACAAAGCGGTCAGGAGGAAACAGCCTACGTGGCTCATTCCAGTCCTGTGAGCTCCTCCAGCCAGCACAGGGGTGCAAGGCAGACATGCCAGGATCTTTGCTCCCATCTCCCGCCACACCATCCAGGATTACTCAGAGGCTTTCTGTGAATGTGTTCTCATGACATGGACGCTCTCAACCCTCCACAGGCCACAAGGACCAGGCAATTATCAGTCCTGTGAAAACAGCCTGAGCTTCAGATTTGGGGGAATTCTCAGAGCCACTCAAAATGCATCTGGCAGGCCTTGCTCCACCCCTCTGAACACTTCACTCCCATCGAGTTAAAACAAGACTTATAAGCAACCCAAATCTTCCATGCTTGAATCACACAGGCAACTCCACGTGCTTGGATATGCCCATCCCCATGAGTAAGGGCTGCAGAATCGGACCCAGCTTTCCCTCACCCTCCTGCCAAAAACACAGGAACACAGAAAGAAGAAAAGAAAAACCCACTGACTGATGCCCCTGCTATTTTTGCTGTCTGACAGCAAACTGGTAAAAGGCCTGACTCAGAAAGCTCTCTTGAAAAACCTGAATCATTACTATTTGAGAGATGGTCTCATATAATGAAGTCTCCACTCCTCCCTCTCTTTAGAAGAGAGAATTTGAGTCAGTCTGATGGGGAGGACAAAGAGGGAAGAAAAAAAGAAGAAATTAAAAATGAACTTCATGCTTCCTTTGGCTCTTTCTGCAAGGATGGCAGACTCACTCAGTCCAGCAGTTGGCAGCTGGGCCTGGGGTCTGCAGGGCCATGTTTGATCTCAGTTACACCTCTCAGTTACCAGTGTGACTTCCTTAACATGAGAGCATAACCACGGACTTACACTGCCTGGAAGTGAGAAAGAGGTATCCCAGCTGTATGTTCACTGCCCGAATGAACTATGTGAACTTGGATTTCTTCTTAATAAAGAGAAGGTTAAAAAACCTGAGCCTTGTGGAATATAGAGATCATTGGAATGAGCCTCATATAAACATTATAATGTTTCAGCACTTTGTTATTACACGTTTAGCATCAGGAGATCTCAAAGCCACTTGACAAAGAGCCTCATTTTCGAGACCCAGCCAAACGAGACACGGAGGGATTAAGTTCTTCAGAAGAGCAGTGGGAGCCACGACAACAGAAACCCAGAGCTTGTGCCCTGTGCCCGAGAGCTGCTCACTCCAGATGCTTCACCAATTAAAACACCGTGGTTACCTGCCTCTTCAGAAGGGCTCTAGCCCGTGTCCTGCAGGGAGATGCAGTACACACACTTTACAAAGGATGATCTGGCACCTCATACTCCTCTGCACGCACAGGTCACCACTGACCCAAAATGCCATGCTCCTCTGGATCCAGGCCATGGCGAGCCAGTGCCTGAGGGAAGGGGGACTGACTAAGAAAAACAGCAGCATTAAAAACAACGATGTATCATCCTAAAAGGTGATTCAAGCCTGGGGTTACTGAGCTAGATCGCACCTCCACGGGAAGGCTCTCCAGGAGCAGCAGCCACTCCAGCACCTCCACTGCAGCCCAGCAAAGCCTACGCCCGGCCTTACACCATGGGTGTCTCTGGCAGCAAGGGCGCGAGGGAGCCATGCCAGCCGCATACACCACCAGCGCTCCCGACACCACAGCGAACACTGCCCTGGGGCAGGGGGGGGGGGGATGCCACTTGATACCAAAGCACTGCAGTCTACTCAAAAGTTTGTGCTGGATCTCAAACCCCGCTTTTTTATGTGGGAAAAATACTGAAATCGATAAAGACAAACACACCTTTGCACCTCCCACCCACCAATGCCAGAGAGCATCAGGCTGCAGGCGAGGTTCCCCAGAGAGCCTGGTCACTTTGGGCCCGTGCAGAGCCAGCAGACACAGCGGGCACTGTGGAAAATTTCCACCTGTAAAATGATTCTTCTCCTTGTCACTGCCAGCTCTGCGTGGCTGCAGGTACACAGGGCACCGGGTCTACTGTACCATTGCTCATTTCTCAGATTAATTTTAAGCAAACTCTGATCACAACGTGAGACAGGCTCCCAAACTGAAGCAAAACAGCTCTGACACAAGTTTGTAGTGCCAGCTGGGAAACGTTTCGGCAGCTCAAGCAGAGCAAATGCACCTGTGGCACTGCCATTTACAGCCAATGGAACTCCCTTTGCATCAGCAGGGACCCTAAAACACAGGAGAGGAATCCACACTGCCCTTCAGGGAGAGGAGTGCACTCTGCCCCTTCTAAAACAAGCCTGAAATTTACCATGTAATCTACAGTTTTTCACGTGGCTAAGGCAAGCAGCATGCAGCCAGTCTGCTCTGCTGGAGATGGATCATGACAGAAAGGGGGAAGAGAACACAGGTCTGGCGCATACCTTCAAACCAGCAGCCTTGATGTTTAGGCTAAGGAAGGATGGATACCGGTGTCACACATCCACATCTACCGTATAGGTAGACTTAAACATACTTCAGTACATGCATACACTCCTATTTACTTACAACGATGCTCATGTCTTTCCTGGCCTTACTCCTCGGAAGGAATCACCACGTTTGAGAGAAAAAGCTTAAGTTTTAAAAGACATGTACAAAAAAAAAGACAATTAGATTAATTTGAGGGCATTCAAGTCCTGAACCTTCAAAACCCATCCGAACATCGCTATACTCCACAAGAAACACTGCGTTCAAGCCTTAGGTGGTGTTTGTGCTCTTCCCTAAACATCAGAGCATTCCTCACACCATGCTGGACACCGTGAAACCCTTCAGACACGTCTGTTTATTTAAAAAGCAAATTCAAGTCACGGAGGGGTACGCTCTCCTTCGTTTAAAGGAAAATTAGCCGTGGCTCAATTCTGCTTACGGTCAAAGATCTGCGAAGCAAAACGCGAACCGGTTCCGATCACCCCGTGCGCAGCCGGTGCCTGGCGAGCAGGGGACACCCGGACCGAGGGCACGGTCCCGCCGCCTCGGCCTCGCTCCCGGCAGCCCGCGGACCCCGCTCCGACCGCCCCGAGCCCTCAGCGCCCTCGAGCCCGCGGCCGCCGGGACCCTCCGGGCGCCGGGCGGGCCCCGCTCCGCCCCGCCGAGCGCCGCTCCGAGCTCCGCCAAGTTGAGCTCCCCTCCGCCCGCGGAGCCGCCGCGCCCCCGGCACACAACGCCCCGGCCCGGCCGGGCCCCGGCCCGGACCCCCGCCGAGGGGAGTCCCGGCTGTCCTCGTTCCCCTCCCTCCGCAGCCGGGCTCCCGCCGCGGCTCGGCCCCGCCGCCCCCCGGCCGGCCCCTCACTCACCGCCGCGCGCGGCCGCGCAGCCGGCCAGCAGCAGGGCCAGGGCGGCCAGCGCGCCCAGCTGCCCCCTCAGCAGCTCCCCGCGCCCTCGCCGCCGCAGCCGCCGCCGCTCCACCGCCGGGGCGCCCATCGCGGCCGCTCCGCTGCGCTCCGACCGCTCCCCGCGCCGCGCCGAGCCCCACCGGGCTCCGCAGCACCGCCCCCGCCCGCCTCGCGCCGTCCGCCCCCGCCCCCTCAGCGGGCGGGACGAGGCGGGCAGGGCAGAGGCCGGGCTGGGGGCACCGCCCTCAGCTCACTGCCCTCAACCCACAGCACACTGCCCTCAGCCCACTGCCCACTGCCCCCAACCCACACCACACTGCCCTCAGCCCACTGCCCACTGCCCCCAACCCACACCACACTGCCCTCAGCCCTCAGCCCACTGCCCCCAACCCACACCACACTGCCCTCAGCCCTCAGCCCACTGCCCCCAACCCACACCACACTGCCCTCAGCCCACTGCCCACTGCCCCCAACCCACACCACACTGCCCTCAGCCCACTGCCCACTGCCCTCAGCCCACTGCCCACTGCCCCCAACCCACAGCACACTGCCCTCAGCCCACTGCCCACTGCCCCCAACCCACACCACACTGCCCTCAGCCCTCAGCCCACTGCCCCCAACCCACACCACACTGCCCTCAGCCCTCAGCCCACTGCCCCCAACCCACACCACACTGCCCTCAGCCCTCAGCCCACTGCTCCCAGCCCACATCCCAGGGCTCACACCACCTGCGGGGGTCCAGCTGCAGGCACAACCCGGCCTGGCCTCAGCTCACACCCACCGTACCTCCCGACACAGCCGGGGCACTGGGGCACAAGGCAGCCCACGCACAGCCACTCCATCCCTCCACTGCTGGGGCTCCCACGCTGGAGAAGCTGCAGCCGGAATCCTTCCCCTTCCCTGTAAAGTCATGATTAGTATTGCAACAGTAGCACAGATGTCTGTGGGCTCTGCTGAACTAGACTGTTGTGCACATACAAGGGAACAGCTGCCTCTGTAGGCCCACAGCGGTGCAGGGACCATTATCCAGAAAGGGCACTGGCATTCCATGACGGATCTACCTGTTTTTGTCTGGAGAGCCACTTTTAGCTGAGATGAACAGGAGAGTAGAGGAAATATCTCTGTTCCTATAGCCTGTTTCCCAAGAGCTGCCATGGCTCATGGCACACAGAAACTAAAGTAAACATCACTGCCAATATTTTTGGTTAGTTACTAACCACTCTTGTTAGGGAGGGTCTCATTCTTGAGGTAGCACCATCAGTTTCTTGTGATTCTGAAGCTGACCAGCGGGTCAATTTTCAGCTCTGCTCTTGCACATTTACTGGTTGTGCTTCTCCACACAATTTCAGCAACACTGGTGTCCCTGATGGTCCTGGGTAGGCAGAGCCAGCTCCCAAACAGACAGTAAATGGAGTTAACAACTGGCTAGGATGTAACTATGGAAGAGGTGTTTTGTTTTGGTTTGTTTTTTTCCAGATAGGATACCCTCCCTTCCCCCTGGCAGGGCAGGTTTTATCCCATGGTAAACAACTCTGAAACCTGTAGTGCTGTGAAACGCTTCAGCAAGTCACTCCAACTTTTGAAAGAGATCCTGGCTGTCCCACTGCTGGCTCTGATTGATGCCATGGGAAACCAGTCAACCCACTATGAAGTGAGAGGAGTTTGGGGGTGAACATCCCCATTGCCGACACGACAGAGCACTGTGACAGTGCTCCCAAAGTACTCCCTTTAAATCTAAATGTCTATTTGGAGTCAGTAACTTCTCGAAAATGTGACCCTGAGAGTCACTGCAAAATCATTACTCTCTCCTCCATCACAGGCCTCCTCTCATCCCATTGCAGGGCTGCTCATAAATACCAGGCATGAGCTCGCTGCCTGGAGAATTGAGACTGGGAATATCTGGGAAGCCTGTGAAGCTTAGGAACAAATTTCCCATTCAGAATTTCAAAGTAATTTAACAAATTCCTTACTAGCATAGTGAGTACTAGCTCCTGAAACATCTCCATTTCTGGGGAGCATAAGACAGGAGAATTCCCTCTTCTCTCCCACTGATAAACTGGTGTGTGGGTGGAACAGGCTTTGAACTGCTCCGTCTGCAGGAGGAAACAGAAGGAAGGGAATTGCCATGGATGTTACTCTTCTGAAAGAAAAGCTTTATATTTATCTTCTACAGGAGTCTTCTACAAGAAAAAACAACTGCTAGAGAAAGAACAGATGTAACTAAGATGCTGCTGAACATTATACAGTTTGCTTTATATCATTTTTGCCACTTTCACCCTTTCACTCTTGCTCCCCTTCTGACCATTTCAGTACTCTTCAAGGATCATCTCTTGACCACCTAATGCACGAGCAGTGCAGGAACTTAACAATGGGTCACCTTTAGGCCATCAGATCACACCTACATGCCACCTGACTCCTCCTCCTTAAAAAAAAGAAAAGGAATCTCATGATCTTGGCGCTCTTTGGGTGCCAATCAGCAAAGGTGCAGATCAGAGGTGCTGTGACTGTTGGAGGTGGTTGCAGGTAGCAGAACCTCCTTGTGTTCTTTGGAGTTCCTTCTGCAGTCCAAGAGAGGAAATCCTATTTAGCTGGCTCATCACCAGCTGGGTTGAGGGTGGGAGACAGACACACAAACATCTTCTTAGATTATCACAGTCTCTGTAGGGCAGGAGCTGCTGCTGCTTTCAGCAACTGCTCACAGGTTCCAGCCAATGTCTGGGTACCTGTGTGTGGTGGGATCCTACCCAAAATAACAGCAGAAGGACTGCCAGGCTGATACTCTTGTTGGACCCATAAGGCCAGGAGCCAGTCATAATGCCAAACTGAACAGGACTGACTTGAAAGTCTGAATCAGTGTAATGGTGTTCGAGTGTGCATGAAATCTCACCTTGGGGCTGAAAAAGAGCAGAGGTGCTAAGCAAAGTCTTCCTTCCCCAGCCACATCCTGCAAGGCTTTACTGATGCATGTACATTCTGCACAGGTCACTGCTGGCATCTCTGCTTGCTGCCAGGTGGACCATTCTCCAAGGAGGGCCATGGAGACTCCAGAGGAGGTTCCCTTAGCTCTGCGAGGGCCCTACGAAGGTTCCCACAGAGCTGGCTCAGAGGGGCAGAAAGAGGCGCTTTTGTTTCTTTCCAGAGCCTCATCACAGTATAAAACCACATAAAGCATTGGGAGAAAACTGTGTAAATCACAGGATACAGATGTGCAGAGATGACAGCCAGATGTGCCCCAGTGGAGCTAAGGAACAGTCGTGACTGTTGCAAGGCGAGCAAACAGCCTTGCGTACTTGGCGTTTTCCCCTGCAAACCATGCCAAGTTCTGCTCTTCAGACCAAATAGAGATTTTCTTCTGTTTGGACTGGCAGATTATGCTCACAAAAAGCTTTCAACTCTGGAGAAAAATATTTGGGATTCACGCAGAGCAGAATGTTTCGGCATACACTGGCCAGTCAGAACCCAGCTGCCAGGGACGGTGATCCCCAACTGGCGGGCAGCACCCCGAGTCCGTTCGGAGCGCTGACAGGGGATGGACACCAGCATGTGAGAGTGGCCCTGGAGCTTTGGCCAAACATGGACAGGGGCACCATCAGACTGGGTTTGGGCGGTGCTTCCCAGCAGAGACCACCTTGAGGTACCTGCATGGCAGAATCACCGAGTCTCACTGCTGTTGCATTGCTCACACAAAACTGCTGTGGAGATCCACCTGAGCAGAGCGGGTGGCCCAGAAAGGACAGTGGGAGGATTCCTTGCACTTTCAGTCCAGGGCCCTACTCATCCAGCACAGCTCCTGAGCCCTTGCTCCCAGTGTCTGCCTACACAGAAAGCCTCACCCTTCACCCCAGGCGTTACCTGGCACACGCACACGTTAGCTGGCTGTACATGCACTCTGAGCGCTTCGCTGTCAGGGCTGCGGTGCCTGAGCACAGCTGCAGTTCAAGGTTCAAAGCAACAGCCTCTCAGTAGGACAGGGGTGGCTCAGTGTGGTTGCTTCTCTCCTGTGAAGTAAGATAGGCTGGCTTACACCAGCTGTTTAATCTGCAAGCCTTAGGCATGCACACATCCTCTGCAAGCCACAGAGAGAGGATGCAATTAAGTACTCTGCTGATTATCACTGGTGGCAGCTCCCTCCTTCCTGCCTGGGATCCCTTGGTGACCAGAAAGCCTGTGTGGGTGATCCTCCCCTGCTCCCACGTAAAGTTCCGTGTCTGAATGAGCCAGTTTCAGTAAATCCGACCAACCTTGCCCTGAGAGAGGTCAGGGAGCGGGTGTACGCAGGGACGTCACTGCGAGCTGGTGGTCAGCAGCTGAAGGCACGATGCCTTTGGTCAGTTCCTGGCAGTGCCACGTGCAGCGATGACAAACCACGTCTTTTCAGTCACCACTCATACTCTGGGTACAAGGTGGTTTAAAAGGCTGCCCAGCTGAGGCAATTTCCATGTACAAACAATTTACAGCAGTTTAGGCTATGCCTGTCTCCATTTGATTTAAGAGCATTTAAATAAGTTTGCATCTGCTTAGATAAAACAGCTTAAGGTCACAGCCTTGGATAAAGATGGGTGTCCTCCTCCCGAAGGCTGCCAACTCTCCTCTCTCTGAAAAGCCTGAGCAAAGGTGTTTGCAGTTACAGCCTTTGGGTAAATCTGAGGTTTCAGGGAATCGTTGGTATGACCCCAAATCTTCCTGCAGCCTGAGGGAGCCCCATCTCCATCATAGATCCAACAAACCCGCTCTCCTGCGCTCCCCCAGTGATCCCTCGGGCAGACCCATCAGAAGTACTTGCAGGGTGGGAACACCTGCTGTGCACAGGCAGCTCACCGTGGGCTCCACAGCAGCCTGACAGCCCCCATGCCCTGCCAGAGCAAGAAAGGAGGGGTGGCAGGAGGGCAGCACACAGCCATGGACAAGGACATCTGTCTCTTCTGGGTTTGGGGCCACTGAATAGAGGAAGTGACCACGGGAAGAGTGAAGAGAACAACCCCGAGGCCCCAGGTCCGTTCTCAGGATTTGCCCACAGCACCCATGCTGTTTGTCTGTCCTGGCAGGCAGCAGAGGGAACGCACTCTCCCTGTTCTAGCTCTCTAGGAAAACCAACAAGGCTGTTCCAGAGCTGAATTCTGCCTTGCCTTCTGCCAGAGGGTGTTGGGGTCTTTATTGGTCAAGGAGGGCAGCAGCATCTGGCTCCCGCACTCCTCTCCTGTTCTGTACTCTATCTCAGACACATTTTTCTAAAGCTTTCCATGTCTTCCCTCCTTGACTCAGATTTATAATACACACACGAACAAGCAAGCTAAAGAAATAATATGTACTGTACTTGTATGTGTATATAATATTAGTCCCTTTTTGAGGCTTAGAGATATTTTGTTCTCCAGCCCTCTTTTCTAGGTGCTATTTTCCCTTACTGAGGCCAGCAGGATGGAAGCCAGAGAGGCAGGACAGAGCAGGACAGCTCTTCCCTGTCAGAGCCCCCGAGAGCTTTTGGACAGACACTGTGCTCCCTTCCCAGGGCTGTTTGTCCCAGTACTCAAGTCTCTGCTATTGGCATATCTTTGGGAATATCTTGTGGCAAGGAGAAGCAATTACCAAATTGAGTGTGCAGAGTATAAAAGCCAAGTAGGGTTCTTTCTGGATGAAAGAGGCAATAAAAATGCTGGTATTAATAGAAAAATATTTGTTACTTCATGGGATATCAGGGCTTCCTGTGGTTTGAGGTTGTGTCTCGCATAGCTCGCTGCTGAACGCCTCGGGATGACTCTTTCCTTTTTTTCTCCCAGCAGCAGCTTTTCGCTCTCCACTCAGCAATCTGGTTCACAAACAGAGCGGTTCTGTGCCTCCTTATCAGCTGCTCCCGGGTGCTCCTCTCCCTTCCGCGGGCGCCGGCGCAGATGGGCTGCTGCTGTGTCCGCTGCGTCCTGCCTGCACAGGGGCTGGAGAGTGACAGCTGGGCTGCAGCAAAGCTGCTGCCCTACCTGCCCGATAGCACTGCAAAACACCAACATGGAACAAAATTAAAGGGCAGAAAAGTCAAACCAAATGCAAATTAAATCTTATTACATGCACTGAAATTGCCCTGCAGGGCCCTTTGCTACAGCAAGCTATTTCTGAGGCAAAAAAAATTACTGAAATGCAGAAGAAGTATGGGTAACTGTGTAAATATTGAGAATAGCAGTGTCAGAATGAATCCTAACATTTGTATACCCAGAGTTCACAGTTTACAGCTTGTAAAAGTCTAAGAAAACAAAAAGGATCGTGAAATCTAATGTAAATCTCAGATCACCACCAATCCACCTGCTCCTTTACTGCTGAACCCCTTCGTGGTGGCCTGCTGTCCTCCAAAAAGCATCAGAGGTTGGCAACACTGGTGGGATGCCAGTCTCTGCCCCCACATTCCTCATGTGTCCCTGTCCCCCAGTGCCCACCCCTGCAGACAACAACTCGTGGAGACTGAGATTTTTCCCTCAGGCTGTATGAAAGTACCTTCTCTTTTCTGCCTTTCTTGGAATCTCCTGTGACTTCCTTAGAATCATTTAGGCTGGAAAATATCTCTAGGACGAGTCCAACTGAGTCCAACCGTTACCCCAGCACTGCCAATTCCTTGTTGAACACAAGCACTTGATAAGCCCTCTAGGACAGAAACTCTCCTCTGCCTCAAGCTGCTAATGCAGCACTTTGCACCATCACAGGCAGAGCCACACCGAGCCACCGCCATCCCGGCACCCACAGCGTGGGCTAGGAGTGAGACACGCCTGGGTCCTGCTGATGCATCAAGGCTCATGGCATGTGGGCGGGTCAGGAGGCAGGTGAAGGCCTGCTGTGGGAACCAGGACCACGCACCACTTGGTAGCAGCACAGCCCAGCGAGCTTGGCCCTCCTGGGGAGCTGTGTGTGCCCAGGAGAGCCAGAGAGCTCGGAGCTGCTCCACAAGATGCCATGGCGAGCTCCTGGGAGAGGCTGTGCCCACCCGCAGAGAGGATCCCATCCTGCACCCCTGTTCCTGCCAGTCCACTGCTCCTCCTCATCCCTGAATGGCAGCATTGCCGCCTTGCTGCGCTCCAGTCTGTCCCCCAGCTCGGGAATGTCCTCTAGTTACCAAGGACACGTTCTGGCCATCCCCCAGGTCTCTCAAGAGGACTGAACAGCACTAGCCTGCAAGGAGCACTCCTTTCCACAGCCCAGCTTGGCATCTCTGGCAGATCCTGGCTGTGGGTCCCTCCAGGGCTCCATCGCCTCAGCAGAGGTGGCTGCCCTGGGGTGACCCCTGTGATCTCTCCCAGGCCACTCTGTGTGACTTCCCTTTGGAGAGCAGATAGATCCTCCTCTCCTCCACCCTCTGGGCAGCGTGCCTGGTTTTAGCGAAGGCTGGAAAGGGCGACTGCCAGCAGGAGAGGAACCCACGGTCTGCAGGAGAGGTGCAAGAGCTTTCAGCCCCAGGGGCTGTTTGTTCCCTTCACACTGGAAGGACCTGTACGTGGCAGAGATCCCCGAGATGATCTATGGGTTGGTATCCGAAACTGGCTTATCAGCACTTCACACACGAGCTGATGCAATCGGATCGCAGTGCTGCAGCTTCATCAGATAATCCACAGTTATGAGAAGAAATGTTGCTGCTTGGCTGAATGAGCTGAACTTACTGGCCCAGCTGAAGTAGGTTAATTAAAGTCACTGGAAGGAAGCTGTGATCGTCCTTCCTGTGAGAAGAGATACTCACAGGTTTATTGCTTACCATTTTTCCCCCCAATTCCAGATAGAGGAGAAGATGGAGAAGCAGTTTATGTAGGAAGCTTCACTGGCATCCTAAACTGTGAATGAAACAGGCCTGGGTTGACAGAAAATCAAGACAGAGTTCACTGGCCTGTAACCCCCTGCCCAAAAGTGGCCCTCGCTTATCTATAAATGTGTTACGTGACAAAATTCTTCTCCAGTTCTAAGCTACAGAGCACAAATACGTTAAAAGACCCCTCACGTTTCAGAGATTAACTCTCACTTGCAGAAGAGGTGGTGATAGCATGCAAACAGATCAACTCCTGCTCAGACTCAGTTCCAGCCACATTCCAGTCTCAGATTTATCAAGGGATGCATCTTGGAGCACACAGGTTGCTCCTGGAGACATCTAGTGAGGCAGCAGTGTAATGCAAAGCAGCACAGGCACCCAAAAACATTCCCATGGAGAACTGTGACCCCACGCCCACTGAGAGCTGTGAGTCCTGTGCAATGTATGGAACAGGGCGTCAAATTTCTGGTCTCTAAGACACAACTCTCCAGCTCTGCTAACAAAACCTTTCATTCTCTGTGGTATCACATTTACTTATCTTATGCTGAACACAACAGGCTTAAGCACATGTCTGTGTTAAACTACTCCACAGCTTAACAGGCACTTCCACATGTTAATTACCCCAAAGTTAAATATGTACAAGACCGCTTTTAAAACTTTAAAGAGACAGTTTAAAACTACCCTAAAGGTATACAAAGCAGCAGGGAGTTCACCAAAGCACATTTTACCTTCCAAACAGGTGGATTACACGAAAGCTGTAGTAGAGCTGTTGTATATTGCTGGTAAAACAGCTTTGATTACCTTTTAGTCATTAAGTCCTTCAGCACTTCAATTTGGTAAATACCAGGGTCTCCCAGGCAATGTTTGTTCACATGTAATGGAGAAACAAACAAACAAGTTCTTGCTGTCTCATCTCCTCAGTGCCACCTCAGCCCAAGTTAGCTAAAATATTTACTCAAGTTCTGGACACACAGTGTGATTTAAATGTCAGCAGGTGACAGTTTGGAGAAACAGTTTGTCACTTTCACAACTGGCGTGGCCTGACCTACATAAAACAAGGACAGCAAACGAGCACTCTGACATACATCAGTGCTTTGTTTAACTAGACTGATACATTTGTGCCTGAAAATTGGTATCTGTTATTCAGTCAAAATGATTTTAAATTTTTATCATAAAACTGTATTTTTGAAATCTCTCAGAAATAATTATCCACATAAAAAAGTTCTGCTCTATTTTCCAAAGTGTCTATTGCCAGGATGTTTTCAGCATGCAGCACCAACCTCTGGCCCTTCCAGCTGCAGGGAGCAAGGCAGTGAGGGCAGGCCTCCTGCAGCAGCCCTGCGAGGAGCCGACAATCCCGGCTGGCAAACCCCAATGTTCCTGACACACCATCGCGGCCAGCAGGAAACAGCTGGCACGGCCAGCCCACACAGCAAGGTCCCACTGCCAGTGAGGGACATGAATGAGCCCTTGGCTTCCTCCTCAAATCCTGTTTCACGTAACACCTCCCAGGGGCTGGTCCGCTCCCTCCACAGAGCCGTGGCAAAGAACTGCCCCGGAATGGCAATTGCCAGGAAAACCCTACCAGAGGAAATGGCCAGGGCAGATTTATGCTGGATATCATGACAAACACCTTCATGAAAAGGGCTGTCCAGCCCTGGCACAGACTGCCCATGGCAGTGGTGGATCCCCATCCCTGGAAGGATCTAACAGCTGGTGTATGTGGCACTTGGGGACATGGTGGCCTTGGCAGCAGTGGAAGAATGGGTGGAGCTGATGGTGTTAGAAGGCTTTTCCAACCTAAATGATTCTGTGATTCTGTGTAAGGAAGCTGTGCTGGAAAAGCATCAGGATTAGTCCCTATTTCAATGAAGGAGAAATGGGTTAATTTGTGGTGAACGAAACTCCTAATTAATCAGTCAGGATTTCACTTACTTGCACTCATAAATGAAACTGCTTACCTGAAGGACAGCACTTCACCACTTCTTCTGTGAGCAACCCCTCCAAAAGAATGGCACTCACACCACACAGCTGTGCTCTCACTCGTGGCAGTGACAAAGTAGCTCCAGTTCTTTTTGGTGACCTGTAACATCCTGCACCGCAAACGCCACCTACAAGAAGTAAGCACTCGTCAGGACACTGTATTCTGGAAAAAGCAAACAAAGAGGTATTTTGAAGGCAGAGGGGAACACGAAATCACCTGAGACCCTTACCCAGCTGCTGCACTGCACACTGCCTCAGGGACAGCAAAGGAAGTCTCTGGGCACGCTTCAAATTCTTGTCCAATATCCTGTATTTTTTCCCCAAATAGATATGTGCTGTATTTCTACCAGCTATTCTGAGAGGAGATAATTAAAACCTCATCCAGAACACAACTTCATTCTCCCATATATATATTTTGCATTTAATTTCACATGTTGGAACCCAGCACTCTGCTGCTGTACGTGGATTTAATTCTGCTCTACCCCCAGTGAAGCAGGGCGGGTTGGAAAGCAGTGCAAGGTCTTACCTAGACAGACTTGCTCAGGAAAAATAATCTAAATTAAGTCACTGCCTGACTTTAAGTGGATTAGTTAAAATGCATTCAATCCCTCAATGCAAGTTCTTATTCAGAAGCAAAATGACCTAAATTTGATTTACTTCTAGTCGTTTCCAACCTTAAATAATATTAAGGCAGCTTTCAATCAGAGATGACTGACCCCATGTATGTAAAATGCAGTTTAAGCAATCCACTTACACAGACAAGATAAAAACCAAACAAGAAAATATTCCCAAGCTCCTGGCATTAAACTGCTGATTGCTAGGCCTGCTTTCCCTGAGTTCAGTAGTTAATGGTGGCAGTTAACCACAAACATTTTTGTGCTCCTAATTGCCTTAAACCAAAACTAGAGCCCACACAAAGGAAATCAGGAGATAAAATTGAACTTCTGGTTGGAGTCAGAGTTGGTTTTTTTTCTAAATCAAATAAAAGCAGTGGTAGGCTCATCTGCCCCCCACAAACGGGAATGAAGCGAGGAGAGCAGTTCTCCAGGAGCTGGTGGGGGTGTGCCAGGTGCCACCAGCACCTGCTTCAAAAAAACAGGCACGGAGAGGGAGCCTCACACGGTGTGACAATTCCATCCTGCTGGGGAGCATCCCTTTGGGGTGCAAGGGAAACAGATGGGGGCAGAGGGGTGTGGCAACAGTGAGCTTTAGATAAGTCAAAGGCCGCCTTGAAGAGAAGGAAATAGTCAATTTTGCACAGGGCAGGAGGTAACAGTCAGTGACCCCAGCAGAGGAGGTGAGCCCAGATGCTGAGCAGAGCTGTGCAACAGCAATGCTGCTGGGGCACTGAATTCCAGGAGGGTGGGACTCTCAGAAAGGCATGAACATATAAGCAGCACAGAAAGAGTCTGGCAGGTTTGAACAGCCTTAATAGATGTATCCCTGATGTCAGGTGTGGGTCAGGATGAAAAAAAGGTGTTGGGATCTGGATTGTTGCTTTGTCTCATACAGAGATGACAGAGCAATTTCCATATTTGGCTCTGCCCAAAGACATGCTGCCATATTTTCTGGAATAAACGACGAATGCTACAGAAATCTAAACATGACTTTTTATAGTCAGTCCTCCAGGCACACAGCTATTGAGTGCTGAGCTGCCAGCCCCAGCTATGCAGAAACCATGAGTCAAGTCCCCCAGATCCTGAGGCTGCCTCAAGGGCTGTGAGATTCACAAAGCAGGGCTCATTCTTCCTGTTCCACCAGCTTTAGAGGAGGAAGAGGTGAGCGACAGGCACTGCAGCTCCAAGATCTCTCTACGGGCCCAAATGGGAAATATCCTCACTGAAAAGGCAGGAGAACATCATGTTCAGTCCCATGGCTGGGGTTGCTGGGGATCTCACAGCAGCTCTGGCTGCTCAGGGCACGTAGAGACCGGGGCACAGCCAGCACCAGTGCCCCCTGGGCACCCAGCGCTGGCCGGGCCCCTCTCCTGCAGCTGCAGCACGTGGGCACCGCAGGGGTGGGCAGGCAAACCCCAGGAAGGGCAGAGTGGCATGTTTCTGTAAGAGCTGGCTGTACCTGGGAGCCTGGAAGACTTTTAGACCACAGAACCCACTCAGGGTCTTGCAGCCGGCAGAGATGCAGCCTGTGGGAAGCTCTGGAGTGGGGCAGCCAGCGAGGAAAGCAACGAGCCACATCCACAGCATCACCTCTTTACCTGGCCAGGGCAGGTGGCAGAGCAGGGCTGCATCCTGAGCCTGCTCTCCCCCAGCAGTCGGAGCTGAGCTGGATTGCAAAGCACCCGAGTTATTCATCCTGCACATCTGCAAGTTGTTACTCCCTGAGAGGCGGCTGAGCTGCCTGTCGTGGTTGTAATAATACTTGTGGCTCTTTTCACTGTTTTGGTTTTGCTAATTCCTTGGTTTGGTTTTCCCGGACAATGCCAGCTGCATTAGCAAAGGCAGGGACTTTCAGTAGGCTCCACACTCTCTTACTGCAGAAAGCTGGGACCTCAGAGTGCATCTTCTGCTGAGAGAGAACCGGCTCTGAGAACAAGGAGAAACAGCCCCAGCCACGGAGCACAGGTTCAGCCAGGACATCAGCACACTGGGACCTGCAACCAGCACGGACCAAGCTCGGCTGGCCTGGTTTCCACATGGGCAGCTGGCTCCGGGGCTCTTCTGTCTGGATGGATTCCAGATATGGGTCAAACGGTAGGATGCTCTGATTAGACCCAGTCCTCAGCTCAGTCTGCTGCAAAAGAGATGAACTCAGACTCTTGCCTGACCTCAGGTAGATCAGGGTTCCTCTTTAGCAGTGATAACAGGAAACAGCCCTGAGAAGGTTACCAAGCTCTTTCAGGCAGAGTGGGCCCATCCACTGGGACAGCCCTTGCTCCCAGCACCAGCACAGCAGCTGCCACCCCGTCCTCACCACGGGGACCCTGGGCAATGTCCTTGCTGGAGGCCCTGGAGCATCTTCTGGACTGGCAATGAGCAGGTGAAGGGAATGTCAGTGCACCTTCTTCACCTTAAGGCAGGTTCCAGCACTACACACATCAGAAAAGAAAATGCAAAAAGGAAAACAGGATATGGTGAGACAACAGTGTTACTGCTCAAAAGCAGTGAAGAGAATGGATCCAGAACAGGAGCACCTGATCCTTGCTCACTCACAGCCTGGCTCCAGGAATTATGCTGACCAAATTTCCTAAGTTTTGCTCTTCTATTAATCTTCTCTGCTGAAGTAAAACAGCTGTCAGAAATGGCAGAGCCATTACACACCTTTGGGTTTGTTTTGCTGACTGCAAAACCCGTTTAACACTGAAGAAGAGAAAACAAAACTTTCTAAGAAGTAAAAGTATGAGAATCCGAAATCTCCACTGCCTCCCGTGGCCAACACCTTGAAGCCTTGTTAGCTTTGTGCTGGTCTGCCCTGCAACTCCACGATCCCAGTTCCCTGTCCCGCTTCCCAAGACTATCTGCACTTGTTTGTAAAGGACAAACAGATCAGCTCAGGCTGATGCATTTTTCCATGGCCAGAAAAGCACACAGATCAAAGCAACAGGGTCAGGAAGGAGAGCCTGAAGCAGCCACTTCCCGACCCTTCCTGGACCACCTTCCCACCCCATTCTCACGGTGGAACTCTTGGGTGTGTCCTTGTGCAGGTGCAGTAACCCCACTGCTGGGGCAGGATTACAAAGACCCCTGGAAAGGCATTCTGCCGGATCACTTTGGATCTACATGTCTTTAAGTCCCTCCAGGAACAGTGACTCCACCACTGCCCTGGACAGGCTGTTCCTGGGCTTGACAACACTTTCTGTGAGAAATTTTTCCCCAATATCTACCCTAAAGCTCCCTTGGCACAACTTGAGGCCATTTCCTCCTCTCCTGTCACTTGTTATCTGGGAGAAGAGGCCATGCCCCATCTGGCTAAAACCTCCTTCCAAGTAGCTGCAGAGAGCTAGGAGGTCTCCTAATGTTTGCAAAGAATTATTGAATTTGCTCTTAAATCTGCCCTGAGCTTCATTCCAGCCCCTCACTGTCCTTCTGTTTATAAGCTTTCCCCTTGTGCCTAACAAACTGCCTCAGGCAAGGTCCCAACCCATCCCTTTCTTTTCCTACCCACAATAAAAACTCATAGAAAACAGCAGTGTTTCATTTTGGAGCTATTTTGAAAAGGAATGCAATCTCCAAGGAACAGGGTAATGTCCAAAAGTGACCAAACAGCACAACAAATTGGGCTCAGAGTTTCAGAACTGTCCAGGCTGAGCACTGGGCTCAACTCGGTCCCTGTGAACAGCCATGAGGAAAAACTGCCCTTTCCTAAGCTGTGGTTAACACTCCAGCAGCAGATGTTCAGGCTGTGGGCTCCTGGGTAGGAGGCACCAACGGATCAGAAGAAATGGGGCTGCCTGAATTCATCAGGCATTTCCCTGCCCACCCCCAAAGCTGCTCCTCACAGCCCGTGGGAGAGCTTTAGGAAAATGAGCAACTTCCACAGCCCCTCTGGTAGAGGGTAGGAGCCTCCCTGGGGATCACTGGACACTGTTTTTTTATCAGCACCAACAGCGTTTAAGCCTCCTCTTGAATCCCATGGAGGTGGCCACACTGCTGGGCAGCCAGAGGAGCAACCAGAGCTCTGCATCTGGGTCTGGCTGTCCCAGGAGCTTCCCTGCTTGGAGGACAGCAGGATCTCAAGGCTGCTCACACTCACAGAGGCATCAGCTGCACTAGAAACCCACCACCAAAAGAGCCTGTGGGAGAGGCTGTGACTGTGGTGAGCATCACCTCTGCTGCACCAGGCTCCTTCATGGCCCTGCTCTGAGAACAGGCACTGACACTGCATGGATTCACCCCAAAGCAGCACCAGGAGCACTGCATGGATTCACCCCAAAGCAGCACCAGGAGCACTGCATGGATTCACCCCAAAGCAGCACCAGGAGCACTGCATGGATTCATCCCAAAGCAGCACCAGGAGCACTGCATGGATTCATCCCAAAGCAGTGCCAGGATCACTGCACAGACTCGCCCCAAAGCAGCACCAGAACCCCCCGTGAACCTGGGCAGTGACTCCTGTCCTGGCGTCAGAGGAGACAGTCAGTGCTCGACCTGCCGTGACCTGGTGAGGGGTTTAGCAACCTGCTTCCCAAGGATGTGCTGCTGCCCCTCATCCTGCCTCCCTGCCCCTGGAGTCCGGGCATGGCTTCAGAAGTTCCCAGAGCTCCTGCTGCCCAGGGGCCTGAAGCCTCAACACGGCACCTGATGGGCAAGCCCAGCTGCTCATGGCACAGCTGCCCTGGGGACAGAGGCCCTGGGGTGACAGCACAGCTGCCCTGGGGTGACAGCACAGCTGCCCTGGGGTGACAGCACAGCTGCCCTGGGGTGACAGCACAGCTGCCCTGGGGACAGAGGCCCTGGGGTGAGAGCCAGCCTTGGGTAACAAGGACAGATGCCACGGAATGACCAAGGATGACCCTCCCTAATAATGTCTGCCCCGGAGATGAGAGCTGTTGCCATCAGTACATTAATTTTTCCTTAAGCCCTTTTCCTGGGAAGGCTGACTCACTGCAATATCCATCTGAAATGTTCTCCTGAGGTATTTTTAGACAACAGTGGTGGTGGTCCAGTGAGTCACGGCTCCAGCACTGCCCATTAATGCAGAAAGACATGGGATCCAGTGTAATGGATTGTTTTCCAGGGCTGCTTCGATGGAGCTCTGCTTCCCTGGCAGTGCCAGCCTTTACACCCACCTCTGTTTCTCTTGCACTGTGTTTAAACGATGGGGTCTGTTCCCTCCTCACAAGCAAGAGAAGTGGAGCAGTCACCTCCAAATCACTGTAATCCAGCTTGATTCACTGCATGTACCAGTGCCTGTTCTTTGTGCTAACAAGGGAACAGGGCAGGGAATGCTTTGGAGAGCTTCAGCAGTTTACCTACAATAAATCTCACACTTTGGAGGACTGGAGGAGCTTGTGGGGAGAGCAAGAGAGTGGAGAGGCTGCCCTGCTGCCTCCTGGTACAGTATAATGCAGCAAGTGATGCAACTTGTTCAAAAAGAGAACAAAGCAGGAGGGGGAAAAAAAAAACCAAACCTGCTGCTCACGCAGCATCCCTCCCTATGCCACTGCCAAACTGGAATCACTCTCACTATGCAAACCTTCCCAGTTACCATAGGGGAAAACCTGTCCAGGCTTCCCTGCTGCATAAGACACTACTCCACGTGGTTCCAAAACCTCCACATTTCCCAGTCCTTTGGGAAGAGCAGTGGGCCAGGCCGGTGGAGGGAACGCTGCTGGCTCTTGCCTGGGCAGTGGATGGAGGGGTCTGTGCTCTGGGACTGCTGCTGGCAGCCAGGGAAGCACAGTGTGCCTACTAATGAAGGAGCTGTGCTGCTGCTTACCTGGGGTCTGCCTCCAGAAGGTGAACTGCAGGAAACCAAGATGCCTGGCTGGTGCAAGGAATGGGTCAGTTGTCACTGCAGAATATTTTGGGACCAGCAGTTGCCACAGAACAGGTGTGTTTGATGTCCTTTTCTTACCAAAACACAGCAGTCTGGAAACAGAGAGTCATCTGTCACAGAACGGGAAGTGGTTCTGCAAGTGCAAAGAAGCATTTTTGTGTAACTCCAGCTGAGGCAATATTCCTGTCAACCAAACATTCCCAAGTAACAACTCCCAGCAGCTGAGACCGTTTCTGGGGGATAGGAGCTTTGATAGTAATCAGAATCCCAGAATGGTTTCATACGAAATGGACTTTAAAGCCCATCTTGTTCCATCCCCCTGCCATGGGCAGGGACACCTTCCCCTAGCCCAGGCTGCTCCAAGCCCCATCCAACCTGGCCTTGGACACTTCCAGGGATGGGGCAGCCACAGCTTCTCTGGGAAACCTGTGCCAGGGCCTGCCCACCCTCACAGGGAAGAATTTCTTCCCAGTATCCCATCTGGCCCTGGTCTCTGTCAGTGGGAAGGCATTCCCTGGGTCCTGTCCTTCCAGGCCCTTGTGAAAGTTCCTCTCTACAGCTCCCTTGCAGCCCCTTTGGATCCTGTTGCCACCAGATCTATATTCTCAGCAGGGAAGATGTAATAAACCCCCAACCACCTCTCTGGATAAGCAAGAGAATGAGAGGACACTTCCAAAGGACTGAGTAGAAGAAAGTGGCTCATGGAGCCTCACAGCCCAAAGACAGATCAGAGGAGGAAGTGGTGCCAAACCCGCTCTGGCTCCTCTTTCCCATTCCCTAACGCCTGCCAGAGTTCTCTCTGCACTGCTGTCCAGCCTGGACACACTTCATTCAGCAGATCCGAAAGTACACTTTCAATCAGACTAACAGCTGTGTGGTTTCTGGGAGCACTCACAGCAGTGGATCTTAGGGCAGTGTCACAAATGCAGGTGAGACAAACCTGCTGCCACGCAGCCACCGGTGCGGAACGGAGAGCAGAGCTGGTGCTCCCAGACGGGATGCACCAGGAACCGCAATCTCTATAAATCAGCCCATTTTTAATTCATTGCTCACACTGCCACGATTGGAACCTGCAGCCTCATCCATTTTGCCGTAATTGTGACACTCGGAGATTTGTCTTTTTGACTGAGAGCCCGGAGTTATTTCCCTTTTAATCCATTAGTGTTTACGCATCAAATTAAACCCCTCCAATCCTTTTTACCAATAGCTTTGGTCTGTCACAGTAGCATCATTCCTTCAGGCTATTCCACCCTTAAAATTCTGCTCTTGGGGGCAATGTGGCCCTTCAACTCAGTATCTAGACTGAAACATTTGCAAGATACTGACTGATCAGGATTTTTTCCTGGTAAAATTGTTTTCTCTTCCAGGAGTCCATGAAAACCAACAATACATTTTCACAGGATCCCTGACATAATCTCTGGTTACCAGGGAGATTTCCTCAGGGAATTTTCTATTTAGAAAACAAAAACAGTTTTTAAGGAAAACTGAGCCCTGCAGTAAATTGCTCCAGCACGAAGGTGAATTTCAATACCAGTAATTGGCAGCTGCTCCATTGTTTGCCAGCACTTCAGCAGAAGTTCTGGAGAAGGTTTGGATTCAGACTGGTCTCGCGTTGGTCCCTGCGGGGCAGTTCCAGCAGGGAAGCTCAGTGTGCTTCCTGAGGCTGGCCTGGCACACGTGAGCAGGTGCTCACAGACACCCCCAGGGGCCCTGCCTGCAGCCCTGGGTTGGCTGTAAACACACAGAACTGCTCCTCAGAGCCCGTGAGGGACAGCCAAACCCTGGGGAACTGCACATAAACCAAGCCCACAGACTAATGAGCCTGCTCTGCAGGAGGGCTGTAATGCCCACCCCTCTTTGGCACATTTATTGTTTTCATTGCACCCAAAATCATCTTTGGCAACTGGCACAGGTTGCCCAGAGAAGCTGTGGCTGCCCCTGGATCCCTGGAAGTGTCCAAGGCCAGGTTGGACAGGGCTTGGAGCAACCTGGGCTAGTGGGAGGTGTCCCTGCCCCTGGCAGGGGTGGACCAAGATGAGATTTAAGGGTCTGTTTATATACAGGTAATAAAAACTGCTGCAACCCTCTCTGCCAGTCATCTCCTGGCCATAGCCATAACTCACAGTCAGCACTGGCAAAGCTCTCTGCACTGGCAGCCCAGGCAGGAGCAGGGACAGCAGCCTGAGCCCGTAGGAGCAGGGCTGAGGGAACAGCACCTTACTCAGTAACGCCCCTGAATTTCCTCCCTCAATGTTTATAAACGCAGGAGCAATCCCACACCCCTGCCTGCTGTCTCAGTAACATCACTGGCAGCACTGGGAGAGAGTAACAAACATTCCTGGACTCAAACCTCAGTCTATTCCACGGGGAGACTCCAGACCTCGCCAGGGCACAGGAAAGGAGCCAAACCTCACAGGAGTTGAACTGCAGGCACTGGGCAGATTTAAAATCATATAAATACTAAAAGGCAAGATTAAATGAAACCCTTCACAACTTACTGTGGGCTGCCAAAGCTTTACCTGCATTTCAGTGGTTTAAAAAGCTAAGTCGGTGCAGTTGTAAACCCTCCTATGAATGAACTTTTGTTAAGGAATTTATAAGCAAAAAGCTTTAAGGGGAAAGCTAAGCAGCCCCCACCCCACCATCCCAAACTGGGCAGCCACACGGACATGATGAGCAGGTGGATTAAGGACAGCAAACACTGAGGAGTTCACCTCATTCAGAGGTGTGACAGCTGTGCCATCACCTCCTGCCCAAGGGTGCCCCACAGCAGATGGCAAGGGAAAGGAACAGGACTGAGGTGTGTCTGGCAGACACAGCCTGTCCCACCTCAGCCTTTCCCAGCCACAGTACTTGGGCATTTCCTGAACTGGAAGCTGTCTCTGAACCCAGTGCAGAGCAGCCAGCAATGATTTTAGGCCATTCATTTATTTTTTTTTTTTTCTAAATGTTTTTGTTTCTGACTTCCCTACAACGGCAAATCCTGGCATCAAGGGGTTTTCCAAGGAGGGCTGGGATCTCCCTTTGTGCAGCACAGAGAGTAGAGAAAGGCCTGAGCATCGCCCTGGCTTTGGGCAGCAACCCCCCAGTGGGACTGCACGTCCTCCAGGGCACCTCTGCTCTGAGACCCCGAAGCCGGCACACCTCAGACATGCCCAGCAGCCCCATCCCAAAACCAGCGTGCAGGGATACCCAGGGATTCTGCAGAATTTTGCACCTGCAGGAGGCACCGTGGCCAGGAGAGAGCCTGTGTTGTGGCAAACACCTTTGTGCAGGAACCACCACCTCTTAGAAAGGTAAAGACCCAGCTACCTCCTGCATTCCGTCCTGCCAGGCTGCATAGGCCACACGCTGGCACATCCCAAGGAATGGTTTCCAGGCCTCCTGTCAACCCTTCAAGGGTCCTTTGGAGATCTTGCACAAGGAAGACCTGTAAAGAAACAAAAAGGGAAAAATAGGATTCTTTCAGCTGACAGAAGGAAAAGCATCTTACTGTCACAGCATGAAAATTAGTGCTGAACTATTATTTAACATTCCTAAAGCATCCAGCTTCCATGTTTTTTAATGCCACTGAAAAGAAGCGACTGATCCAAATGCTCCTTTTCCAGCAGACACCCATGAGCAGCGGGGGAAGCCCCACATGCTGCATTCCAGCAGATGCTGAGCAGCGGTGCCTTCTCACTCTGTTTTCCAAGATTACCTTCTCCTTCCCAACACACCTGCACACATCCAGCACGGCCCCAGAGGCGCATGGATGAGTGTACTGGCTGTGGAGCGTGAAATCCCTGGAGCAGGAGCCCATCTGATCCCAGCTGCTGCTTTACACAGCTGAGCACGGTCTGGGCACAGGAACGAGCGGCTCTGCTTCCCACGCGGCTGGAGCTACTCCCCACGAGCCAGGGGAGAACGGGAGCAGGGGCCTGGAAACTTCTGTGGTTCCTTTCTAAGCTCCATCCTGACCAAGTTATCTCCTTCCCAGAAATCTACTCAACACCTTACGACAATTCATTCAAATTAATGCCATATAGAGGATATGACCCTGTGTAAAGCGGGACTCGCCCTCCCAACTCTGACCACCAGGGAGGATTTAAAAAGGAATAAAGAAAAAAAAAAATCCCAGCAGCTTTGAGAGCAACGTTTGATGTTGGGTTGTATAAATCACAGACTGAGCTGCACGTATGGGAATATGAAAGAAGGGTTTGATGAACAGCTCAGTGAAGCTCAGACCTAACTGCACAGCTGACTGAGAGGTTAATTATCCGGATGAGAGAAATGCTGATCCTTGGTACCAGGCACCATTTCCGTATGGGCACATCTGACAGTTCCAAATTAGGGCTGCTTTAGCAAAGGATGAGGGGGTGGAAGGGACTGAGGAGCATCCCCAGGCAGCCGGGAGGCATCGGGAACGCTGCAGGAAGCTGCGGTTCTGGTCCCTCTCCAGCTTGAACAACATTTTCCACTTGGGTTCCGGGGGATTATGTGTTATTTGGATATTGCAGTGTCCAGGGCTGCTCCGCCATGACCTGCCTGTCAGGGAACATCAGGAACAGACCCGGCTGCCTCCCCCAGCCCCACAGAGCACCGGGCAGGGCTGAGTCTCCTCTGCACCCCAGAACAAACCCTCTCACCTCCTGGGCTGGGCTGCTGACGCGTCAGCGGGGCCAGGCTCGGGTACACAGTACAGAGCCCGGCTGAACTCTCAGGGTTCTGATGTGAGAGAGAGGCTCAGCTCCATACAGCTCATTATTTATGAGCCTGGGAAGATACCCTGACACAAACTGAATGCACAGGTGCTTTTCTGCCCCCTTCCCCAGGGCGTGGAGTCTTGAGTTCTCTGCCCAGGCCCCTGGCAGGAAAGTTTTGAGCCAGGAGGAAAGGGCAAAAAACCTCAAACCCCGTAAACATTTTAAGAACAACCCGTGTTCTGCCCGAAACTCCAAACTCAAGAGCTGTAATCTGCTGCAGCAGGTGATACCAGAGTGAGGGGGCCTCACCCAGCCCTGCCACCTGCCCAGAATTAACAGGATTATCATAATTCACCTTTTTGGACATCCCAGTCTGCAGGTGCTGCTTCAGGGAAGAGAGGGAGACACACTCCTGGGGCTCCATTGGAATGTGTCCTCCCAAGTCACGTCTGCTTCTGCTGAGCTGAGGTCACCCTTGTCACAGGGATGTCTCTTCCTCCCTTTGTTCTGGTCTTCTCTTTTCTCTGACACCGTTTCTCAGGTTTCCTCAGTTACCACAAAGAAAGAGAGGGAGAAAACCTTTAATGAAATAAAAGTAACATCACAGAAGATACCCTTTAAGGAATTATAAATTTCAGCATTTGTATAGAAATGGTAGCTCAGACTCCCAGTGCATGCAGCAGTAAAACAGAAAAAAATATGCCACGTAAAAACGTCACACAAAAAATACACCACATCGTGGGTGTGACGCTGGACCGGTCAGCAGCACAGAGCTGAGCCCTGTCACGAGCCCAGAGCTGCCAAAGTGGCTGTTCAGCAGAGCCCCTCACTGTCACTGCCAGCAGACCCCGCGCTGCGCCGCCTCGGGGGACAGAGCAAGGGAGCCTCGAGACACCTCCAGTGTTGAAAGACTTTTGCAAAAAGACCCAGACTTTAAAAAAAACCACCCAGGAATTCTCTGGGGCTTGGATGCAGCCTGTTTGCCCCAGACTGAAACTCTCTCGTGCCAACCCCTTTGTAGGGGCTTGGTTTCCCAAACACAGACCGAGACCACCACCACCTCAAGGTGTTCCAGCAACACATTAACGACTAAAATTCTGTAATTAACACAGAAAGGTAATACCTGGCCTTGTCTCTACAGAAACACTCTCATTTCACTCTCTTTAGAGATCAAAAACCCATTAGAGAAAAACAAGAGGAAAGATTAAGTGTTCTCCTGTAATGCTCATATATTGTGTTTGCTTAGGTTGCTGGATTAACAAGGAAACAGGATTTCATTACATGCATGAGAAAATTAATACAAAATTAAATTAATACCATTATTTGTATTACTAAAACAGAGCAAAACGCAGGAAGAGCAGCATTTTAAAGTGGTAAAAGGGTAATGTATCACTTCTTCAATTATAAAAGCTTATATTAGAATCCCAGAATCGTTTAGGTTAGAAAAGCCCTCGAAGATTGTTAAATCCAGCTGTTCACCCAGCAATGAAGTTAAAAAGAAACGATTTTAGTTCCCCTTGAAATGAAATTCACAACAGCTCTGAGAAGGAACAAACAAATCTATTTCCTGCCCGCAGCCTACGGCAACTTAAACATCCGAGCTTGTGGAGATTGTCCTGGGACTCCAAGACATTATGCAAACCAGAAAATAAGCTAGTTTGGTAGCGCACAGCTATTAACTACCCCCCACCTGGATATGAAGGCATTTAAAAAAGGCACATTCCTAGTGAAAAGAGGGGGAGAAGGTCTAACTGGACGGTGCAGCACTGCAGCAGATTGCGAGCAGTGACGCGAAGCTGTGCGAAGGTAAAGCAGCTGTCAGATAATCTCCATCATTAATACACAAGGGCCTTCACATTCGGCTCCACTGCTCTTACAAAATCTGAAACCACAAACCAAAACAAAAGGCAGGACCCTTCCCGAGGACAAGTTCTGTCCTCCTCCCACAGCTTCCGAGAGGAAAAGAAACCAGCTTTCACTGCAGCTTAACCTTCGATCTCCACAGTTACTTTGGAAAGAGAAATGTGTAGAACTACAGACATTTATCTTTCTAAAAACGCACTTAGGATGTGCTTTGCTTTGACTCCTGAAGGATGAAGCAAAAGATATGTTGGACTTTGGGCTCCCAAAGGCGTGCAAACGCAGCTGTGGGTGTTAGATTAGATCAGCTGGGTGAAGGAAGCTGGGCTCCCGGGGGAAGCATCTCCTCACCACCTCCTGGTCCAAAGCAACACTGCAGGACTGAGCCCAAAGCCCCACAGGGAGCCCAGAGCCAGCACCAGGAGTGGCTTGGCCAGTGTCCCCCAGCAGCAGGCAGTTTCTGGGATACCTGCCACTGGTGTCCTGACTTGGCTGCCGAGGGCAGGACGGGCAGTGCCTGCATGGCTGGACCAGGCTCGGCTGGGTGCACAGGAGCTGCACACGAGCAGTGACTGGGGGATGCACAGACAGAGTTCCCTGCACGTGTCAGAGGAGCCTGGCGGGCAGCAGAACTGGGTTCCTCCGGTGGTTTTACAGAGAGAGCTGCAACATGGACAGAAAAGCTCTGTGAGGGTCAGAGGAGCTCTGCTGGAGCAGCCTCAGCACTCAGCATTTCAGCCTTTTGGCACACAAGGCATTAATTCATGGGAAAATTAAATCAGTTGCAATTAAAAATCGATTTTGACGTGCAGCAGATTTCTGATTCCCCAGAGGCTTTTGGGAGAGCGGTGGCCAGCTCCAGCTCCCACTGCTGGGCAGCGGCTCCCGCCGTGATGTCACTGGCACGTTTCTGGCGCGTTCCCGTGGCTGCTCCCATCCCGTGCTGACGGTGCCACGCAGCACCAGACCCGTTCCCAGCAGTGCCGCCCATCGCAGCCCTGCTGACCAACACCTGCTCCAAACAAGCACTTCCTCAGAAACACACACGGAACGTGTTCGGCGTGGGCTGGAACACAGATATGTGGATTGAACCATCCAGCAAGTTCCATAAAGAGCAAACGCAGTCAGCTCACACTGCAGCGATCATCAGGCGTTCAGCAAAAGCCACCAGAAATAGTTCTGTAACTCAGAAACGTTTTAATTCTTCTCTTTTTAATTTTGTAGTTGCCCTTGTTTTCTGCCATTTATTATTGTTTTTCCCTTTAGGATTCCCAGTGCTTTCCATAGGAAGAATGCTTGATCACTTCTTCTAAAAGCCACCGATAAGAAAATTAAATCCCTTTGGCATCACTGCACAGGGGAGTTGCATAACAAGGCGAGTATATATAGAAATTGCATTCCAAGTGTTTACATAAGAGCTCGGAATAACACAGATGTAAAATAAAAATCCAACTCAATTTACAAACCAGCCCTACAGTGCTTTTGTGTCTGATAACGTGGAGCGAGTGAATCAGCTTACCAGGGGTACACAGGGAATATTAGTCTGGTGCTATTTACATAACTGGGAAAGAAAGATTAAAATGGGGCAGACAAGTGTGTAGAAAAGGGTGATTTGCTCATCTTGGAGAAGATCTTCTGTCTGGCTAGAAAGACTGACACAGAAGTTGATGCTTTAAAATACTCCAAGCTGTCCAAAATCTCCTCTGGTTTCTGCAAGCAAACTGATGTCTATTCTAAGATCAGAACTCCACAGGCTCTCTCTGCACACTCTTCTCAGTGGTCCCAGTCTGACACTTGCAACACAGAATAAGAAAACCCAGGTTTGTTCCACCAACCTTGGAGTAACTGTGCTCCCAAAAGCAACTGGAAGGGCATGAACTCCTGCTCACCATAACTTAAAGCTTCTTTACTTTGCTCCTTGAATACCTGGAGAAGGGCAGATCATAAAGGGCCCCCAGGATGGTAGGCTGGGGAGATTGCTGGGCATACAATTAAATTGATTCAAATCTATCCCATAGGTCTCCAGTCTGAGGCAGGGACATTTGTACACAGGTGCAAGCTGGAAAGTGCTGTTGAAATGATCAGCAACATTGAAACCCAAATCATCTCAAGGCACTGAATGTATCTATTCAGTTCCTTCAGTAGAATCATGGAGCTGTGTAGGTTGGAAAAGCCCTCTAAGATCACAGAGTCCAACATTAACCCAGCACTGCAAAGCCAATAACTGTGTCCCCAAGAGACACATCAAACTAAACTCAAATGGGAGTCTCCCCACTGAAACGCTTTCAAATTTCTGATTTAGTGCCAACTGAGCAAGTCAGACTCCAAAAGCCAAACAAGAAGCATCAGCCATTAGAAGAGCAGGGCTGTGCAACATCAGGAGAGGGAAAGGGGCACTGCTGAAGCAGAAAGCTGCAGGTGCTCACATGGATCTTGCTGAACATTATCCCTGTGCTCCAATGAGCAGCAGAGGGATGGACAGTGCTGCTTCTGTATGGACCACAGCCCACAGCACATCAGGGAAGTTTTGCAGTCCCAACATCTCCTGTCAAGCTTTAAAGACGGAGGAGCATAATCATATATCTCCAAAATGCTCCCACATAATTCAAAGGAAAAGTACTACATCTACTTAAAGTTCCCGTGCTAATCACTAGATGGCACTTTCCCTTAAAACAATAAACAACCATGCAAGATGTTTGTTATTTTCTCCTAAGGAAATATATCATTAAATAAGAGGGGGAAAGAAAACAGTGCAGAAGGTGAGCAAAGCATTGCTCATCCCTGATAGCCTGAGCAATTCCCAGTCGGGTCCCTGCACAGCTCTCAGCTCCTTCACCTCCGAGGGCAGATTTCCTCGCCCCACCCTCCTCGGCAGTCCGTGCAGGGTATTCCACAGCCACCGTGTCCTGCTCAGCCTCCCAGCAATCAGAGCACCCGTAGGGGTTTACAAAATACAGGTATGATTGTTTCTGTAGTAGCAGAACGTTATAAAACAAACAAGCGTTCAAAGTTTTAGAAATAATCAGGATAACCAAACCCACCAAAGATAAGCAGCCACAATGTGCTATAGAAGGTGCTAATGGCCTTGGGAGGTGGTGTTTGGGTTTTTTTGTTTAGGTCTCCGGTGTTTTTTGTCTGTTTGGTGACTAAATGAGGGTTGGCTGCCGGCTGGAGCTGGGACACAGGAGCATTTGTTTAAAGCAGCAGCCAGGCTCAGTCTGCCCTGGTGGCTCTGGGGCACGCTGGGCACCCAGCTCGTCATTCCAACAAATGTAACATCATCTTAGGAGCAAAACGGCTCCTCTCAAAACCCTTTATGTTCTGAGTAGCTCAACCTAAGGATCCTCCACACTGCGGATGGAGAGCAGCGCTCACCGGCATTGCCTGGCCTGGGGGTCTCGGGTGTTGGTTTGAACTGGAATGCATCTTGAGTGCATTATGTAAATGTTACCCAGACCTCAACGCCCCCAACCCTGCTTCCTTCTTCTCATCTCTCCCTCTGCAGCATCCAGATCCAAAATACAGTCTAAAATAGAATTTAATTTATTTCCTTCTGGACAGTGATGGAACAAATGGGCCCATAGAGATCAGTTCAGCCTGCTATTACTATACATGCATTAAACATTAGAACTGCTGTACTCCTCCTAGTAGGGACATGAAAAATGCACAGAACACGTCCAATCTGAATTCCATAATTATCCATAATGCTCTCAAAGGTTTTCATTTTTTCAGATATCACCACGTCTTTTTGCCAAGCAACTCCGTGAACACCTCTCCTTCCTCCGTTTCTGACTGGGTACAAATTCCTCCCAGCAAACTCCACCCAGCTGTGCACCACAGGCAGGTCACCACAAACCCCACAGAGTCACAAGGTTCTGCAAAAAATCCCACCTGGCACATGTAGGGAGAAACCCCTCAAATGGCCTCCTGGTCACCAACCCACAGCCCTGCAGCACCAGAACCCCCTCGCCTCCCACCCACACGAGACTCAGCTCCCACTGAGAAAGAATATTTTCCATATGTGGTCCTTGTATTTATCTTGCTTTTGAGCTCTCATAGCAGCAGATAAACCATGCACTAATAGAACACAACTCCCAAGCACAGACATGTGTTTATCTTCTTTCAAGTGCAGCGTTTTATTGACTGATGGTATCTACAGAAGTGAAATGAAGCCACAAACACCATAAATCCCCCATAAAGAGGGATATTTTTGTAAAAGCAACTTCACAAGAGATGGTGTGCAGAACCGAGAGTCAAGAAATAAGAAATGCTCCCTAAAAACCGAGGAGCAGCCTGCAGCCTATGAACTCCATAATTTCCAGACCCCAATACAGCAGCAACTGCTGCTCAGTTTGTGGGAGACAGAGACAGACAGTTTCACTTGTGCCACACAACCAGCTCCAGACTGTAAAACCTATTTACTCCTGACTGCATGACAGTCAGCCCTCTTTTAAACAAGCAATTCCATGAGCAAGACTGATTTTAAATAGCTGTCCCAGAATAAATGCATCCTAAATCCCAGCATCTTTCCATCGCCCCCCCCATGGATCCTCCTCTGCCAGGTACCAGATGAGCTGATCACCTTTCCACAGCATGAACCTAGTGCTCAGTGTTCCCTCTTCCACCTGAAAATCTGAATTTTGCAAGATTTAAAGGCATTCCATCCCCCCAAAGCCCCCAACACATCAGGTTACCCCAGGGTTTAACCTCGGCATGGCAGGTTTCTCCAGTGGGGTGTCTCTCCTCTCCTCCCCACTGCCAGAAGCCTTTCCAGCAGGAATGTTTGTCTTCCACCCAGCCTGGTGATAAATCCAGGCAGGCCAGGAGGGCACTGGGGCTTCATAACTTAAACATGAGAACCTGCAGCTCTGCAGGAGTGAGGCAAACAGACACAAACCAAACGGGCAGAAATACCTCACCACCGACTCCAGACCACGAGCCCAGAGAGGACAGAGGCTCCCAGGAATCAAACTGCAGGACACAAAGCATGCACAGAACCCCAGCATGGTCTGCATTGGAGGGGACCTCAAAGCCCATCCAGTCCCACCCCTCCTGCCATAGGCAGGGACACCTGCCACTAGCCCAGGCTGTTCCAAGCCCTGTCCAAGGGGGAATAATTTCACTACTGGAAATGCAGCATTCAGGGTGTCAGTCCACATCCTTCCCCACAAGTGTTTCAAAAACAAGGTAAAAAAAATCCAAGTTCTGTACCCTGGAAACAAGAAGCCCACAATAATCAGTCTGGCTTGAAAATCCCATGTGTTTGGGTTTTTAACTCAGAACAACAATGTGCTTGCCCTGTGAGACACTGCCTTGTGCCCCTGCTGCTTTCTGGGGAACTGCTGGAGTTCCATGTACAAACACAGACAACGTGCTTACCTGAGCCCCTGCTGACAATCTCACCACTGCTCTTATTAAGAGAGATGGTATCAGCAACTGACAGAGTATACAGCAAAGCTGGCATAAAAAGGGAATGTTCCATCTTCAACAAAGTAAGGAATTCCTGGGAAAATGTAATGCTCCTAGAATAAATTTAAAAAAACAAACAGCCCCCTCCAAACCCCCCAAAAAATTCCTACCAAAATATAGACAAGAAAACCACCTTCCCACCTCTGAAAACTCCATGAAAAATTCAATTAAATGAAATGAAAAAGCAAAGACAGGGAATGGGATAGAGGGAAATGTCGAAAGGAAGTGTGAAAAGCAATGGGACCCAGAGCAGAGGGAGGTCTTGGAGAAAGAGGGAAAACAGAAATGGGATTTACAATATAATGGGGTACACGAGGCAGCAGAAACACTCAGAGATGAGAGGCACATGTTATTACAGAGGGCTCATGGGGGGCAACTGGGGGTGGGACAGAGGGGGGGCAGTGAGAGCCACGTGCCCAGTGAGGAGACTGAGGTGTGAGGACACCAACAGCCACAGCCGCCCCCACCAGCAGTGCACCCTTTAATGGCCAGCCCCGTTCTCAGGATGAATAAACCTGGGCAGGGAGGACTCACCAGATGGAGCAGAGCCTTGCACAGATGTGGCTGGTCCTGGCACCCCAGACAGGCACCTGCTCCCAGACTGGGACAGGGGGCCTTGCGCTAGAAGTGAGAACTGCCACCCAGTTCTCAGGTCACTGGTGATGGCTGCTGACCCCTGCACTGGTGCCAGGACCTCTTCTTTAGCTGCTGGAAAACCAACAAGTGTCTTAAAGGGAATTGACTCCAATACAGCGTTGGTTTTCCACACAAAACCCATGTCAAGTCAGTAATAGTAAAACTCCCTAAATACATTTATTTATCACCAGTGAAAATACTGTACAATGCCCCAGGAAAGGGGTGGCGGCAGGCAAGGTGTTAAGTCTGGCTTTCATCGATGTCCTTGTCAGGATCCATGGCTGCAGCTTCGCTCTCCTGCTGCTGCTTCTTCCAGAGCTTTGCCATAGCCAGGAGTTTGAGGTTAGGCTGATTGGCAGTATCTTCTGGGAAAATGTAGTCATAGTATTCCTCCCAGCCAGCATCAGACTAGGGAAAAAAATACCACAAAGCGACTTTAATTTGCATGTTAACACTGGCTGTTAGGAGGCACTTCTAATAAGAAATAGAAGTGAGAGAAAATTAAAGCCCACGTTTGGGAGCCCATCCCCAGCAGCTGACTCCACAAAGCACAAAGGCACCAAGGACTCACGGCTGGCACCATTCTTCCTTACCCCATCCTCAGCCTGCAGTTTTCTCCTCTTCTTTATTTTCTCAGGCATAAGTTTATCTATCCTCTCTTTCGTGGTGTCGGAGCCAAACTCCTCCTCGAAGCTCCTCCAGGACTCCAGCAGCATGACCCTCTCCTCCTTCTCCTCGCAGCTCCGCATGGCCTTGTTGGCCTCCTCGTAGATCTGCCGGCAGCGCTGCAGCCTCTCCTCCCTGCCCGCCGACAGCTCGAACTGCGCGAAGCTGATCCACACCTGCGGGCACAGCACAGCCTGCAACCCCTGCCTGCAGCCCCACAGCCGAGGGGCAGCTCAAAAAACCCCCACAAAGCAGCCAAAAAAACCCCACACCCAAAACCCAAACACCAATGCAAGTCTAAAGCAGTGTCCCGTAAGCCCAGAAGATCCCTGTTTGTTTCACACGCGTGAGATTGGCCTGGTTTCAGCAAGGCAGAACACCCACACGAGCCATGTGGGTACATTTCTTGGGGCTGCTTCAGGTCACGGGAAATCTGTGTGAATTTAGTCAGTGACAGCACTGAGCGTCACTGGAAAAATCACAGCTATTTTCTCCTTCCAAAGATTTTGCAGCTAAAATCCCAAGGTGGCTCAGCAGGAAGAGGGCTGCTTGGAAAAGCTTCTTGCACCTGCTGCTGTATGGAATTTAGACACTTCTTTCCCAGCACAGGCACAGGACTGTACTTGGGCTGATTTGAGCCCAGGCTTCCTCTGCCCCGTGGGCCACAGTCAGGACCAGCTCTGTGTCCTGGGTGCCCACACACACCTTGACGTGCTGTGTCCGCTGAAGCAACCGGCGGTAGAGGTTCCTGGTCTTCTCATACTCCTCTTGCTCAATCTCAAAGTCAATGTAGGATTTCCAAAGAACCTGCAACAGAGAAGTCCTTCATCAGGTTCCTTCAGAGCACACTGAGATAATGGGGGGAGGAGCACGGATAAAGGTGGAATTTCCCCGAGAAAAGTTTGAGATCAGGGCATTAACTGACAGCACAGGCTGGGATCATGGCTGAGCAGCACCAAACCCTGTGCACACAACCCATTTAGCTTTCCCCCTCACTTTTTGTCAGGGGGTTTATGGCCCTGCCAAGAAACAGACGCTGAATTACAGAGTGCCGGGTGTGGTTCTGCCTGAGCTGATGGGTCATTTACACTTCATCAGCCACGCTCTGTAACAAACACTTCAAAGCTGGGCCAGGTGCCCAGCCCTCCCCGCTCACCTCGGGCATGTCCAGCCGGGGCTGCCCAATGGCCAGCTCGTAGATGGCCCGGGCTCGGTCGATGTCCCCGAGGATGGTCTCCAGCTCAGCAAACTTAATCCAGGACGTGCAGTTTTCCGGTGCAAACTCCAGGAATTTTTCATACAGCTTTCGGCAACGGTCAAATTCTCGCAGTTGTAGCTCCAATTCGATGTAACCTTTGAACAGTTTGTTTTTTGGGCATTTACCTATGGACGTCCCCTGTTAAGGAAAAAAACCACCCCCCCAAAAAAAACACCACCTTAATGATATTGCAGGCAAATAAAACCCACTGAATTTTCGAAGTGTTTCTTTACCCTCCAGTATTAGAACTACAACTCATTTTTTGCACAGCCTGTTTCTTCAGACTCTGTTCAGGGCCAGGGGAAATCCAGCCAGTGCTTGCAGAATGAATGTGCATCCACAGAATCCGAGAACTCAGGAAGTAGAAAATTTCCTCACTTGTTACACTTTTACAGAACATGGATCCCCCATGGAGTGTGAGTTGGAACTTACCCTGGCTCAGCTGAGCACTTCATCCTGCACTGACAGCTGAAGTAAGCACAGTGCCAGCCTGTACCAGTCTGTCAGGTAAACAGTTCCCAAGTATCTTACAAAACAAATGGTATCAAACCAAACTGTCTCCTGGCCCCACACTGCTCCCCCTCACACAGAGAGTGGTTCCCCCTCCCTGCCTGCTGACTGATAGCAATGGACAGGTAGAGAATAACAGCTTTAAAAAGTTTAAAAATTTTCCTTCTTATATGCCTCAGACTCTGAAGAAAACTGTCTGTCCTAAGGCAGGCTGTGAGAAAGCAGTTCTTAGTCTGGGACTCTTTTAAAACAAGAGTTAAGAATAGGCACACCTGAGACAACTTGTAGTGAACTTCACCTTGGAGCCACTTCCCCAGACAAGCATTATTTATTGAGCAGTGGAGCCTCTGTTCCCTCAGGCCAGTGTGAGTGAAGTAACTGGAGATGAAACTCCACTACTACAACTCTCCTGCACAACGTTCCTACACGTTTATTATCTTGAAACTTATTAAAAATGAAGGAATCCACCACTTGGGAGTATCACTTCAGTCACTGTTATGGCCCTCTAGCTCTGCAAATGCCATTGCTGTTTCAAAATACGCGCAGTTCTTCTCCACGTACACTCTGTCGCTGTTTTGGCTGAAACCCCATTAATTTACTCTTCAAGGTCAAACCACCTCAACTGTTACCAACGTTGGCTTTCTCCCAAAATCCCTGAGTTTACTAAGAATATCTGAACTGAGAGGAAAGGAAGTTCATTTCAAAAGGTCTTGGTGCCAAAACACACCCGTTGTCCCCTGACTTGCTGATGTTCACACAGTGAACCTGCTCAGCAGCTGCTGAGCCTGCCCAAAATCCCCGTGACTGCTTCTCTCAGCAGCCTGAGACTCACCCACTCTGTTCAACAGGTCCTAATTTCTTAGAGTCAAACTTCCCCTTTATCTAAAGAGCTTTTTAAACTGTATCACTGTAACGAATCAGCAGCAGTTAACAACTTGTAATGGCACTAAGCTGATGGGGGTGCTCTGCATTCACAGGAGTGCTCTGTCATTCCTGCCCGCGGCTAATTCATCATAGCAAGCTACTCTTCTTTTTAAATCACACATGACAGTAAATGCTGGTCCCTGCAGACTCCTCGGATGCTTTGTTTAAGTGGATTAAACCAGCAATTTATAAAGGACAATTCAAGATCTTCTAATGCTATCCCTGCATTACTGTTAGTTAGCAAAGTCAATTATGGCACTAACAAAAGCTTACCAAAGCCCTTCTGGCGAGGGGGAGGTTTTTCTGGCGTATTTCAAACTGTGCATACAGCAGCCACATTTTAGCAAATGTAAACTGGAAAAAAAAAGAAGAATATGATACGTTATTAGTACTACATTTAGTCTCGTTTGAGCTCGGTGTTTTTATGCTAAAATGTTTAGAGTCCATTACCCAAAACAATCTCACAAAGAGAAGGCAACATACTCCATCACTACTAAAGGCAAAAATAGCGACGAGGAAGTCTTTTTAAACAGAGAAAAAGAGTTCATTAACCAATCACCAACTAATAACATATCAGCTATCAATTAAGCAATTAACAGCTTGTAGTGATGACAGATTAATCCTAATCTACACACCTGACACTCATGACAGTACTAATGACAAACTGGAAAAGAAAGAACATGAACTAAGATTTTCTGATGTTCCAAGGCAATGCAGATAAGATGGTTGTAAGGGTTTGGCCCCATGGAAATTTAGTTAAAGCTCGCTAGTAAAGAAAACCCCACAAAATTGCTCAATAATCAGCCTTGAAGGCCAACTGTAATGGGGATGACACACCTGAAAGGTGTTTTATCAAATGCAGCTGCCTCGGGTGGGACCGTGCAGGCCATCAGGCGCAGCTGCTATAAAAGGTGGTAGCCCTGGCAAAGCAGGGCACTGAGTATCCTGTAGAAGCTACAGCTGAACTCAGCTTGGAGTAGCCTGAGAAGGAAATCATGTAAGTAAAGACTAACTAAGTGGTTTTCTCTATCTTTTAACTATGTACAATTTTAACTTCTTAGACTCTACTTAATAATTTCAATATGAGGGAATCTGACACTGTGATTGTCCTGCTGTTTCCCAGGGTGATGCAAGTTATAGTTATCTTAGACCTTAGCTAGAAAAAAAACCTATCCACTTTGGAAGATGGAAAGTCTGAGAAACTGGAAGGGGTACTTAGAGTTCTGAGTGCAACCCTCACAAATGTGTTAGCAGATATTTGGAGCTGTTTATGCACTTAAATCTGGGGCAGGGAGAGGGAAAGAGAACTAAAGGATATTACCTGGGAAACTGTCACCCAGAACTCACCCCCAAGTGCTGGAGAAGCCATACCTTTTTGTGGGGAAGGAGCTCAATGCAGGCCTGGTACACCTGTCTGGTTCGCTCTGCATCCTGTAAAGATAAGCACCATTAAATACTTTGCTCACTGCTAAGATTACACTGCATCTTGCATCCTGCAATGACTGTAAAACTGCAATAAGTTTTTAAGTCAAACTGGTTAGAATTGTGAATGCTTAAGATATAAATGTACTTATCTACTTGGCATGCACAACTAAAAGGCAGTAACTTCCTAGAATCGGCAAGACTCGCCTTTTGGAAGCAA